TGGTGCGGAGATAACAAACTACAATAAACATTATTCTCGGATAAGATACCTTTTTCTTGCTGTCATCGACCAACTGTGACATAAGCCCGAGGAAGACATGTAAAATGTAGTTTAGTTTATTAGTCAATGCGCTCAGTACGAACGACATTTGTTTTGATAGGAGTTCACGTTTTCAGCTGCAGGTGTTTTCTCTTATATAAACATATGTCTGGGATATCATAATATTTTAGTTTTTTTTGCTTAATGCTGTAGGAGAACAAGGGGCGTGATCCAATAAAAATTCCAAATCGAATCAGCAGTTGTTGCCTTATTGTGTTTTACGCATCACTGAAAATGTCTAAATCGGAGAATTCAACAACCCTTTTTCAAAAACTCATATAGTATTAAAATATATATTTAAAATTGATTTGCTGCTAAAAACGAAATAACTACAGCAAAACCTAACAATCCTATACATATGAATGTACTAAAGGTATTCAAGATATTTTGGGTAACTTGATTATAGGACCATTATATCTTCTAAATAATGGCGGCTCACTCGGCAAACTTTACACTACCCAAAACTATATGTAAAATATATTTTTCAAGCACAAAAACTTCTTCAAGTGGTTGTATAATATGCTACTGGCACTATTATGAATAATTTAGTTTATTGTAAAAGTTGAACTCACACTGAAACTCATAACTCTTATGTTACATGTTGGAACACTGCCTTCTAAAATTCCCCCATGTTTCGCTCAACAGTGTATTCGTCGATGAATTGCTGCAGACTCTCCGCATTTGCATGAGCCACCGTGAAAAATGAACACAATAATATTTTTATCGTAAACTAATTTCAAGATAAGAGTTACATGTGTGTGGGTACCGCTCAAGAATATTCGTTTTGAATAATGGTTAAATTAGAAGCCTATAATTAAGGCAATGTAGATTTGTGATTCAGAGGGGAACTTAGATTCGAGTTCGCCACGTGATTTAGGACGGAGCGCGGGAAATACAACCTAGCAATTTATTTCGTTTTTATTAATCTTATATCGCTTTTGGTTTTTATACATCTAAGTAATAATAGCATCGAAATGCGCTATGTTATTATTACACGTACACTTTTATTTGTAGGGGTCAAAAGCCAGTTTCAGGTCATGAGGAAATGGCTGTCTTTAATCATATCGCGTTGGTGGTTTTTCAATCGGTTTGCAATATGGAAGAAACCAGTGTAGTGAAATTGCATAAGTGACGTTTTCGAAACTTGTTTTTCACGGGTGCATTGTTTTTGTCATCGTGTGTTTCTCTAATCGTCTAGACTAGACCATGTATATTGTTTACCTTATCTATCGCCCAATCTGTCTGTTTTACGGAGACGCGCAGATTTACCGAGAAGCCTCGATAAGATACTTATAAATGATTTTGAAGTTGAAAGTGAAGACACGGTGTTCTATGGTCAATAAATTAAATCAGACACAAAAATACATGTGTGTAGAGAGATACGACATGATAATCGGAAAGAGAAACGTGACAGAAAAATTTAGTGCGATTGATTAAAGTAGTTCTCATCGATAGATGGCGCTCTATATTGTTTTAACTACCTACCACAATAAGTACGCTTTGCGGACAATGTGTATGTATATTATTGTGTTGCTTCCCGAAAGATGATTAATTAAAGATAATTGCAATTATCGCAAAATTATTTATTATCACCTAAGAATCAGACATTCATCTCATTTGATCGAAATAAAATCAAACGAAACGAGTTTCTCTTCGAGGTATTCGACTTAGTTCAATAAAAATAAATGTTTTCGCACTTGTTGATAAGCTATAGGCAGTAAACAGATGAGGTAACTGTATCTTTTTTATATGATTGGATATAAATTTGCTGAAAGTATTCAAAATGCATTGTAAACATTTTAGATTATCGGAGAACTTGTAGTCATAAGAATATAAACAAACGGACTAATTGAGGCGTCAAAGTATTACCGCATAACTGTGCTTGAGAACGTTTCAACCTGTCACTTAGTGAAGTCGAGATTGATTTTGAATTAGGTCGTCAAAACAAAAAGAAGTCGGCAGATATGCATAATGATGATAACTTCAGATAGCGAAATTTTAGTCAGTGTTCGGATAGGATTTGGTCAACACAGGTTTATGTGGAAAATTATTGTGATGAGGCAAATATAAACGTTGTGGGAGTTGGTGGTGTCGTTGATGAGATTGTGGGATCGTAATATTCGGTAAACAGTATTATTATTAAAGTTTATCACGTACGCTTCTTCCAGCTATCACGCTTTATTCACGCGATCGATTTATGGTATATATATGTAATACTTGGAAGTTCATCTTAGTACAGTAACATATTTTTCATTTATCTGGTGATTTCTTTCGCTTGTTGCGTACACAATTACGTTAGCAACCATACCTCTCTTTAAATAACTCTCCAGTAAAGCGACGCTGTTTGTATCTCACAGGCGATATATTTCGGCCATTTTGAGGCACCAATCAATCAGAATTATTTCCTTACTGTAGAATAACTTGAGTTCCTCACAACGCGCAACCTATAGCCTTGGCCATTTCAAGTCCAATCTGCTCTAAAAGAGTCTTATATTCATATCATAGGTCGCCTCTCTACATTTTTGCCCGATATGATAAAGTTCATCATCAGTTTCGATTTTAGTACCCTGATAATGATATGATTGGTGTCAAGGGAAAAACTGTTTTAATATTTTTATAAATGATTGCTCAATTATCCATCAAGAACCGTTGATAAGGGTGCGTTCAGTTTGACATTTGTTGCAGCTTTTAATTCAAATATCTATATTTGACGGTCAATCACAATTTAAGTTGTGCTTTGGGGAATAAGTTTGCACTTTCGCAATACCCAATGATGACATTTTCGCCATTTCATTTGGAAACACGAAACTGTCCTTAAAATCAAATTATTTTTTATGATATTGAATGCATACTAAATTATAATACGCGTCGATTATACTTGCAATGCTGACATGCTTATTAATATTTCATGCATTCGGATTTTAAATATATGTTAGCCCGCACAGAACAGAGATTATTGTCAATTTGTATGGTAAAAGATATAAAGGCAGTACGTTGTCAGTCAGGATAAAAACGAAGGAAGAACATTCAGGTATGAGGGCGAAATATAGTTTGTAACGAAAGCGAATGAAAGTGTATCCCGAAATTTGCCAGAACCTGCGAACTCATTCTATCGTAGGGTATTTAAATAGCATTCAAAATAAATGAAGAGAAATGGGCGATTTAGAATGGGGTGTAGATCAAGTATAAGGATTTACACAAAGGAGTCATATTCCATTGAATGTTCACCAAACCTTCTTCCTTTATTCTCAATGAAAAACTTAGCATTTTGGGTATTGCTGGATTAATAAACAAATTCGCATAATACGTAGACGCGTTTTTGACTTCGTCATCATTATGACGTGCGCAACAAATGACATTGTATTGCACCATTTTAAACCAAGAAAAAATTTTCAAGATCAGATATTTTTAGTAAGAGCTTACACGCGATGACGTATGATGTGAATGGTTAGATCAAAATTTAACGTTTTATTGTAAAACGTGTTTTTCATGTCACATGCCCAATCCAAGTGATACTTGCTTTATCACCTCAAATATCGTTTTCTTGTCGATATGCTTACGATACTCGTGTGATCTGTTATAAATTGTCAGTGCCTTCTATGTTTCCTTTTTGTTGACTATATCGAAATCCTTCTTAAAATTATTCTTGAACTTTCCAGCCCTTGTGCATCCCCCTTCAATCAAGCCTACTGTATATCGAAAGGACCGAAATATGAAATGGCACGCATGTTTTCACTTTTTACCCCAGTCAAACATTAAAAGGCTGCAAAAGCATTTTCAAAAAAGCTGAGAAATATATAATAGACCGTATATGACAAAGTAATAGCGTTATGGAAATTAATATCAAAGCAGATTCAGAAAACATAGTGTTCTAGACGTCACGTGTAATCCTCCATTGCCGTATTTCTAACTGCACGTTTATGAACATGATTGGGCAAAAAAGCGTAGCGGTGTTTCGCTATAAAAACTCGAAAACTGTCTAGATTTAGTTTGAGGCCTGATAGCATATCAAAATTCAGAAAAATAGCAACAGTGAAGACAGTTCTTTGCTTTAAATTGATTTATTAGTAAACGGGCACTCTGCGGCATTTTCGCACTAGGCTACTACGTTTTTTTCGGAAGCGTTAGATAATAATATCAGTAAGAGTAAATTGATAATAATTCGACTTCATATGAATAGTTCGCACCTAATGAAAACATGATTGATTGCCAGTGACAACTTCGCCAAAAACAATTTACATGTAAGCTTAGGAGCAATTTTGTCGGACAAGTATAGTTTGCTTCGGATCAGTCCATATAAAAAATGCACACCGAACGTGACAGATATCAACTGTCGGAAACTGACTATTTAGCAGAAAGTTAAATTCTGGAATTCGCCACCCAGCGCAGAATACTTTGTGGTATAATCTTTTGTTATTTGCCGTACTTCGTATGCGATATATACCAATCACCACGATCTGTACGATGTATGCGTCAAGCTATTGTGAAAGTTTTCATTCTTCAAATGATTTTTGCATTCTATTTTTGATACTACTTAACTTAACATAAATTGCATACTCGATATTATCGCTACTATTAATTATTAGGGAGAAAAGGTCAGCGTAATAAATTTCCAGAATTCGAATTTTACAAATATTCACGGGATATTTAATGATACAAATGCGAAAAAAATGGTATTTGCTAACATGATTTTTAATGATCTAGCTAGAAAGCCTTGCAGTTCCTTTTTACCATATGGCATAAATACATATACAGTACTATTATATATATGCTGAATGGAACTGATTTGGGTCTGACCTTAAATTGGCCGGGGACTTCGGTTTTATTTTCGCCGGCATTGTGTGCGACCGAGATTCCACAGGTTCAGTCCTATAGATGTGGTAAATACGTATTTGGCAAGTTCACACATTCCAGCCTATTTGCAGTCTCTCGAACTGCTTTGCGTAATAATCATCGTTTATATACCCTTTTGAAGATTGAGATACAGTTACCGTTTCTTCCACCGGTTGCATCCCTGAATAAAACGAAGATGTTGGCGCAGAGGGGGGTCTGTAATACTGATTATCATAACCGGAAAACATAAAGTCTCCCCAACCATAATTACTGGGTGCTTGTGGCTGATATGTATCCCCGGGTGGCGCTGATGGTGAACGTTCGTGTGTTGCATCCGAGTGTTCGGGTGCCATATGTTTTTGTGTAATTTTCTCGTGCCCCGGTTGGCTCGTAGGATTTTGATAACCTGGGTATGCTGGATACGGTGTTGCTTGATACGGAGTTGGCTGGGGAGTCTGACCATATGCACCGTAAGGCTGAGGTTGGCCATATGCAGGCCAGTTACCTTGTGCTGCCGGCATCGCGGGCTGTTGGTATCCACCATACCCCATCGGGGCGCCATATGAATTTTGAGGTGCCGGTGGATATCCGGGTACTTGTGGATACGTATAAGCGGGATTTGGTGCGTATCCGGGATAGGGTTGTTGCGCGGGCATTGGCGGATAACCTGTGGGTTGTGGAGGCGCATTTGGGTATCCGGTCTGGGGTTGCGACGGGTAGGAGTAACCCTGCCATGTGTTAGGATAGGGATTGCTGGGCTGTGGCTGCCATTGCCCTTGTGCGGGCTGTGTGGGATACGGATTGTAATCGGCTACTGGAGGGTTGACCCGAGCAAGTGCATCCACACAGCTATAGTAAGCCTGCAACTCCTGATCTCTATCAATAAACACTGGCACGATCGGATCCTCGTAAACAAGCTTCTTCTTGCCCATGTTCCAAGTCGTTTAAATTAAAAACACACGCTATCTCTGAAATGAAAAACGCAATCATTGACACAGCCGTTCCTCGATCATCTGGAATGCTTGTGGGAATTGGGATTGTGGTTCCGCTTTAAAAAAAAGCTTGAAAACCACTGTCCAATAGACTAAGGTGTTCGGGCTGATAAAAAAGATGAACTGAAGATAAGTTAACTGCCTAAAAGAATAAGCCACCATTGGTTATGATTGATGTCTCACATAAACCTAAGTGCTTCCACAAAGAACAAAGGACATTCATTCACAAGGCGAATATACTTTCTTTTCAATAGTATCGATTATCAAGCGTACCTCGCGGATATGCTGTCGTAGCGAGCGCATTCTATTCGATTACCTTTGTTCGTATTGCGACTGTAATAACCCGAGGCGCATTGCTAAGGAATGTTACCAATAAATAAATATCAAGCATAAATATGTTTATGAGGCGGGCTGTGAATATTTAACCGACGATGTCTAACATTTAAGGCGAGTTTAAGATGCTATTTACGAACTATACGGTACGTTACAGTTTCTGTTAACGCCAAATACCAAATGTAATCCGTTAGGTTAGAACGTCCCGTGCTGTTCCGAATATGCTGCCAACATTGACAGACTTCGACACTGACAGCTATACCATTGTTACAATGTTCGATATTTGCGCCGCAAAAGCTACTAATTTAAACATGATATGATACATGCTGTGCTACCATAACGAATTTCTATCGAAACACTTCTTAGACTGACAAATCTTCCACGGTCAACGGTATACGCGCATACACACACGCACACATTTTAACTACGCTCATGTTGAGGCATTTTACTCAAACCTGGTTTATTGGAAAGATAAGCATAACACTCTGCCTAAAACACATCGGTATCCCTGCCTAATTACACAAGATTTTACAACTGAGAACCTATGTGACCAGATCTACAGGAAAGGTAACAGACTTTACTCACTCGCCAAAGCGCCGTTAATGTTTGATCGATGTTTTTGTCATCACTCGTAGAGGCGGAGCGTGAGTAACCACTCGACCGTATCGTCTACGCCGCGGTGAGAAACGCAATCTCGTTCCGCGTTTCGTTTGGCAATTGCCCTGTGTTCGAGTAGAATGTCGTTGAGTAGAATTGTATATTGCCAAAACAGGCTCTCAATATGCAACCCGGTGGTACCCCGTGATTTGGAAACATTTTTTCACTACACCCCAAGATATAGTGTCATATGATTCGAATACGCTAAATGCAATATTGGTCTATTTATATAATTGTAATGTCCAACCAATTAATGCAGGGTGAAGAAAACCATTAAACATTTCGTGGGAATGCCGGAGGTTTTAATGCGTTAATTAGGTATCAAATATCTCAGACACCCGGTGTAAAACCTCTGCCATCAATACTCATATATTTCTTTCTTTTTGAGGAGTGAAGATTATTTTTCTTTGAACAAACGCAAATACGTAGTACTATCTGCGTATACGAGACTGAAAACCATTCTCCGTAAAGATGTTTCTAGTGTTCTTTTGTGCATTACTTCACAATGCATATTTAATTGATAAATTCTTTTATTTAAATATTTGATTTTCGGGTTGCGCATTTATTTGAACTCAATTGTTGCTCTCGAATAAAATGCTGTTCAAATCTGGCTACACGTGTTCATTCCCAGCTCAAAAGGTATTGTCACTTAAAAAGACTTGATATTTGTCAGAGAAGTCGACTTTACTTATGGACATGGCTAGGTACTGGACGCTACATATATATATATGTTGTCTCAGTCTGTTGAGTTAGGTATTGAGTCCGACGTGTATTGCTGTTGTGAGTGCAGATTACCTATTCTCAACCGTGGGATTCAGGAGGTCACACGGGTTCGCGCAAGGTAAGATTTATATTACAATTAAAAACCGTAGTCGCGGAATGCCAATGTGCTACGTCGATCGGATATTTATATCCGGATAAAAAATGTTCAGACGGATTTGGGCGGTGCGTAATTAATTTTTGATAAACTTCCGTTTAGTTCAAAGGGGCTCATTTATTTTCGAAGCAATCACATTTTATGCTATTGTCAGCAAGTATCGAGTAGGACTGCTGATTCAGCGATTTTCTCTAACACCTTGCCGATGTCATTGCCCGTCATCCAAATAGCATTTATGAGTATATTCTTTTATAGCTAGTTTTAGTATGAATTAGCCACATCATAACCCGGGGAAATAGAGAACTTAAGGTTAATCCGTACTAAAATTAGAATTCCGTACTCTTATGTCAGTAAGTCCTGGTAGTGGAATGGTACCACAAACACCAAACTCGGGAAATTTGGTATCGAGTAACTCAATAATATCGAGTAGGACTGCTGATTCAGCGATTTTCTCTAACACCTTGCCGATGTCATTGCCCGTCATCCAAATAGCATTTATGAGTATATTCTTTTATAGCTAGTTTTAGTATGAATTAGCCACATCATAACCCGGGGAAATAGAGAACTTAAGGTTAATCCGTACTAAAATTAGAATTCCGTACTCTTATGTCAGTAAGTCCTGGTAGTGGAATGGTACCACAAACACCAAACTCGGGAAATTTGGTATCGAACGCGAATGAAGAATGACCGAATCATTTTCATACAATGATTGCAAGTTGCAACAATTCATTCAAAGGCGGTTATTTACATGCTATTGTCTTGGATGGAAGTCGAAAAACCGAAGTAAAAAATAGCGCCTGTAGTAATGACATGTTAATTGCCGTTAAATTAATTAGCTCGAGACAGATTTATTCAATCGAATAAATTGCAATCATATTGTAAGTATTATTCAAGACGCAGTTTAGTTTAAACTGGTTCAGGTAGAATGCAACGATGTCGAAAAATATTTGCATAAAATAAATTAACTGGGATAATTTTCAGCTCTAGGCACTGTTTCTATTTCAGCTTGTTTAATACACAAGATAAATCTCCACATTATGGAGTTTTCTATAAATACTTTTAAATTAATTTTTTTTGAAAACATATGGATTTATTGACATTACGGTGGAATGCGAGTAAAAATAGAAAGCATGTATTGCAGGAAAGGACAAATATATAAAGCGGGTCATGAACAGATGCCAGTTTTATTCTCTAATTAGATAAATACAGCCAAGTTAGCCTATGCGTTTGTGAGCCAAGTGGCCAATATCCTATTTTTGACAATGATTATGTGTTATCCTTTTTGATCGGTAGGCATATAGTGAACACCTAGCCATCTTACTGTGTGTTTTTGAATTTCAATAATAATCTTTGTTGTTTATATATTAAATCATTATTTTAACAGCATACGTTTCGTTGAATAATTGACAACAAAGAAAGCAATGCCTCTTGGGGTACCAAAAAGATCTCCTTCAAAACACTTTGATAGCCCTGTTCGACATCGGGCGTCAAAAACAAGGCGCAAAGAGTCTTCGACTATGCATGGCTGGGAAAATGGAGGTTACATTCGTGATAGCGATGCTGTCATAGAGGTAAATGCTGTTTATACTGATACTAGGGCTGGGAATGGTTAATCGGTTATCCGATTTTAGATGGTTAACGGTTACGATTTATTTTCACCGTTAACTGACATCTCATCTTTATAATGTACAATTAAATCGAATATCATTAGTTCATCGCAAATTTATCTCCTTTGACGTTTGATTCTAACGAATATCACTAACTGTATTGGTAAGGACTCAATAAATGTGAAAAATGATTGAGGTCCCAATATTGCTGATTACGAAAATTTGACAATGCTGAATTCAGAATCAGTTTTCACTCAAAATAATATGTTCACGTCTTCACGATATTATTGCACGAGCGTCTATTCAATGTCATTCAACAAATGCGTAGTTGATGCTGTTTTTCTTTATGATATCTCGAAGTAGAATTTGCATATCAAACATTGAAAATTAGTCACACGAATAACATTTAACAACGGAATCGGGCTTTACTGAAATATCTCCATGTCCGAAGCACGCTGCATACCTATTGTCTGTTAATTTTACCCTGTTAACGGGTAAAGTTTTTTCCTGAAATTCCCGTCGCTATTAAATACCGTTGTTATTTAGTGCATTTCTACGACGATGACACAATACTCATAGCAAATCCAATGGAGTTTTTATTTTGCTAGCAATGCGTGCAGGATTAGGATATGTTTTGTTCAAATCAAAAGTTACAATACAGTATTAGACATTCAATAAAACCCGGCAATATCTACTTTATATAGGGTATATAACTGTAAACTTCGAAGTAGTACAATGTGCCGATCACATAAGCTTGCTTGAAAGCGAGATTGATTTATGCACTAGTGTGTTTACAGGTAATGTATTCTTTATCTGCTATACACACTCTTGGGTTTGGGTTACTGCAACAGAAAATGGCAGCTTTTCTTGCAAACCCCTTTTTTGTCATCATAACGTTACTTCCCTTTGTGTCATTATGTTATGATGTTTGGGCTATTTTATTATGAACCTGAACTGTTGATGCTTTGCGTTGGGTAGTTTAGGCTGCGATCCCGCCGGCATGCTTTTGTGAACAAGAATATACCGTGTGCGTATGGTTCCATTACATTTGAACCCACGACAATTGCACCTGCATACCATTGCACCTATGGGAATTGTTTTACAGATATTTTAACCCATAGTAACCCTAATCTATGGGTTTTAACACCCGCATATAGATTGAACCCGCGGATATACACATGGATTAAAATGCACGGTCACCCGTGCGTATAATATAGTATTGGTCGCGAGGTGGCGTAGCGTCGCTGTAGAATTCTAACCTGAAAATGTTATCTGATTGCCAACGGTGACTGAAAATTTTTATTTACACACAATCACTTAATTTGGTAAAGATAGGAACTGCGTGATTGCGGCCATATTTTTCTTTCCAATTATTTTGAAAATATTTTAGTAATAAATAAGCTGTTTTGACACGCTGTTTGCGTCTTAAATGAACGCTCCATGTAATTAGTCATGCCAATGTGAGCTAAGGGCAAATAGCTGCCGTTTGCCAAACGTTTTATGTTTTTATGCGTCATCAGATGGAAATGTTGAACTACTGTCAAAATAGAACATTATTTTATCGCATTACTACAACAATTATTGTATGTCAATAATCATATTTCAGATTTTTGGAAACGATCTTTCGCACCCAGTGCACACATTGGTGGACGGTGAATATGCTCAAACGCCCTGGGTGAGTAAAAAACTTTTGCTATAGTCTGTGGCATCAATCCTTTCTTAAATATTAACAAATGGGAGTGACTTATTTAGAATAATTGTTACGATACAATTAATATTTGTTTTATATTTATTAAATCATGAATGAAAATTGCTCTGTTAGTACAGACAGACATGAGCGAGAATAAACAGGAAAATAGTATATTTGATGAAAGTCGGAAGTAACAACGGTTCTTTTATCATAATATCACGCATTGAAATCTACATTGCTATAAAACTTGAGAGATTATTTTCGTTAATTCCGTTGGTTATTTAAATGAAGTATCTATTCTAGTCTACTCATTCACGACATGTGTAAGAATTTTGAGGTAATTCCATTGGTTTATTTCTATCATGGTTATCCATTTGTTTGTTCTTGTACATATATGCCTTTGCAGCATTTTGGCAACAGTCTCCTTTTTGATAATGGTATAACAACCATTAGCATTTTCTTGGAAACATATTTGCGAGAGTGTAATGAGCAAGTTTATTGCGTTGGAAGCTTTGCTTCTTCATTTAAATTATTGTATCTCATTTGGGGGTTATTAACTTATTATAATACACTAGTAATTGTCCTGCTTTATATGCTTGACCCCGATGATTTATAGCTATGCCTGCAGAAATAATGCTCATTGATCTGATGAAATTCATTTCGGTTAAAAGCCTAAGGGATATTTAGTTGCTTCCTGAGTTGATTTCATCAACGGATAAATTGTCGATGCTTCCTAATTTTTGACCTCGTGTGAAATAGGGCAAAATTGTACTTGTCAAATAGCCTCGGAAAAATTTTAATCGAATTATTTAGTTGGTTTAGTAGCAGTACAAATTAGACATGTGCAGTTCAATGCTAATCTAGAGATTAGAAAAATGACCTGGTCCTCGCGACAAGCAAATTTATTTGTAATGGTTAATATTACATGGGCCTCCGGGGCCTCGTAGTATACGGACTGCTAATAGGATGTTACGTATGTTTGGAGGTAGGGGTAATTAACAAGGAAATGTTAAATGATTGATGACCTCATAGAAGGCTAGTTGCTCCAGGGTTAATTTGCCAGAGATGAATGATCACTTGAACGACGCAGTAAATGTTAACAATTCTAGACATAGGACTGTTTCGGTACAGTAGTAACTGAGTTGCAGTGATACGTTAGGGCAAGATGGCATAGATTCCGATTTTTTAATACACGTGGATGAGTCGGTTTGCGTGCTATATTATATAGTTTAGATGTTAAACACTATTTCTGTAACTTTCTATGTACCTCTAATACGATTTTTGCTTTGAAAACTACACGATTCTTCTTCCCGGGAAAAAGGCGATATCTCGATACTCGTGACTGATTGCGCTCAATTAGTTTAATATGCTTAAAGTCTTTGATGCAGGTGATACCCACATGCAAATTTATACCACATATTCTAAAAACATTTGCTTTTTACATACGTCGTTTTATTTTATTTAAAGCTAAGCTATTTTATATCCAGTTCATGGCATTCCATCAAACGGATGGTCTGAAATTTTTAAAGGTTTTTGTCATCATGTCACCGCGTATTAGGCCACCACGAGATATAAACACGATAATTTCATGTCTATTAGGATAATAAGATAATAATCCGCAAACGAGAAAGTCAGGAACAGTTTAAATAAACAGCTATAACTTGCTGCGGGTTAAGGTGTTTTCGCACATGATTTATTAGTTTTATTGAGAGCGAAGTAGATCTCATTCATGAGTATCGTATAGCCGAGAGTGAAGTTCAATCTGACGAGATCACGGTAACGCTGTACTGGTTAAAACTATCTCAATAAATTGTATAGCAGAAAAGACTTTGTGCTTTATCAATATTTGGTTATTTAACAAATCGGAAAAATTTATTACTATTTCGTAATTATTTGGCTGTACTTCTTTCATATTTTCTGTTTACCAGGTTTGTTGTGCATAATATTATTTGAGTAGTAATAAGTTTTAATCGCGAAATTAATGAGTGGGACGTGAGTTTAAATATGTGCGTCATCACTGGTAAAAAATCCACAGGGAAGGATTAAAAAATTGTCGAGACTTGCAAAACATTTTTCCTGACGTTTGTTTTTACTTTCGTAAACGATTTGAGCAAAATAAGTCTCATTTTTTTGCTAATGACCTTGAAAAGTGGTCCGATTATCTGGATATTTCAGCCAATTAATTACAAGGACTATCGAGGATATATATTTTTCAATTCGTTGCTAGCGGCTTATAAACGCCCTTAAGAATAGTTGTAGTATTATTCAGGTAGGTGGTTTACACTGAGGTTAGAGAATATTCAATACCGGTATATTGAGATAAGAACTGGAATGAGCTTAACTAAATGGATGTAAACAATAGCACGTATGAAATAGTAAGTTGATAGATATATTCACATAATAAATACGTAATTATGCAGTGTCATAAAATGTCTTTGATTTATATATTAGCAACTTCTTACTGGTAAATTTTAAGAATTAGCTACGAATGAACAATAATATAATGCATGGTGACAAAGTTTCGCGAAATTCTGACGAGTTGGTTAAAGATTCAGCGTATATACAATTGTTAAACTTTGATCTGGAAGACGGAAAGAAAGACTGTAAAAAACGAAACTCTGATACTTATAAAAAACAAGTAAGTTTCGACTCAGGGTCGGATAACGAAGAACTAGCAGCACTTCTTCCTAAAAGAAGATCAAAGCAAGAGCAAAACCTGCATATTCTGGATCCGCCATGGAAAAGACGAAACTCGTTTCAGGTAAGTGCATATGGTGGGAATTTTAATATTGAATACTGTTTTTTGTTGAAGAATTTTAGTATTTGCAAGCAAATTTGACTTTGATAATATGTTGGCAATAGTTATGTTTTGCTTAGCACAATGAGTCAATTTCGACGATAAGCTCGACAACCCCCACAAGCGGATGCGCAGAGTCATAATTTGCACCCAAATTGATCACATCAGACTCGCTAACCACGTGTGGCGCCCTGAATTCACTTCTATTTACATTTCGATGTGTCGCGCGGGTCCCTTTGATGGAATAATACAACCTCGTTGGTTTTTGCTCGCCTTGGTTAGTTGGCGCCCCTACCCGATGAAAAGTTTGGAGTCAAGGCGTTCGCGCCTGAAAGCGTGAATATCAGGACCTTTAACAAATTAGCACAATATTGGTATTGCGATACAATAGCGTTTCTTGTGCTAAATTGTCTGGCGCTCAGGTAATGCGGACTTCGATACTTTGTTCCAGTGCATTTAATGTGGTTTAGGAGAGGGAACAACATTGTAATTTTTTCTAACTTTCTCCAAGTCAATAGGAAGGGTGTGAATTGAGTGATTGAGTTGACTTAATAAAATGTTGAATCAAACCAGCAAACAGGGTCAAAAGGCAGATTGTTTAAATATGGTACTGAAATAAATCAGATGCAGGGTTCATAATAAAATGTTGAATTAAACCAGCAAACAGTGTCAGGAGACAGATTGTTTAAATACTGAAATAAACAAAATGTTGGGTTGAGTAAATATTTCAATTAAACTATTTTATCTATTTACTTCTGTATAAATTTAAGTTATATTATTACATAAGATGGAGCCTCATGAAAATAATTGTTCCGATCACTTGCTGTCATCAATTTATGGAATTACTTCGGTAAAGTAAAAGTTTATCACTTTATGTATTTTCTATAAAATAAAATTTAAAAGAATCTGTTATATATACAGTACTCCTTTGTGTGACTAACTTACCAGGGTTATTTTCTTGTATGTTCTATAATATATCTGATGCAATTATAATTTCTGTAGACTGTTAAATGGGCAAGTCGTCATAGTTAACCATGTGAATAGCTATAAAGAGGGGGGCTTCAACCCGATTCAATAAACAAAATAACAAGATAAAGCTGCACCAATATCAATTTGACTGCACTGTACCCCAAGTTCTAACAATTGACTCATTTTATATGCAGGTTATTAAGAAATTAAAATGCTGCTGAATTTAGTAGTCTATCACTGAATGACTAACTCATAACTTGTATATTCAAATTGCTCGTTTGATCAACAATGGTCAATGATTAAACATGAAAGCTATTCGTCATAAAATTGCACTTATAAAATATTGTTTTTAGCTTTTTATTGTTTGATTACTATTTCCTAATACAGTTTAGTTTATTATTGGCATATAAATCCCTGTATGAAACGTTATAATCCATGTGTATAGATAGATTTTTTCAAGTTTTATTTCAATATATGTCTGTTGTTGAAGGAATGGAATACCTTTCACAGTAATATATACTACATGTTTGGGAAGTCAATTCATATGAGTTGTTACAATAGACACTCATTTTCATTTAAGATCGATCTATCTTGGTGTTGAATGAGTCCTTCCATTTGTCTTTTCAAAAGCACAATTCAAAGTTGAATTGCACATAAAACGATGGAAATTCTATGCAACTGGTGATTAGAAACTATTGTTGTAACAAAAGTGTTTGGAAATGGAGCTCAAGTCGATGGATAACGCACTAAAAATAATAGTTTTGGTTCACCTATGTCCTTCTCTAATAAAATACTTATGTAAAAGCCTAGTTTCTTCTGGCTTGTGTTCAGTATTGATAAGGGTGATTGAATACTGCATGACTAAATTGCTCTTTGTTCACGTCCAATTGTTATATTATATGTGATTTTAAAGAGCTTTTGTGCTGAATGGTCTGACTGTACATGTATTGATTTGGACTGGTGTCAAATTTCCTATTTCCGTTAAGTCTTTTGATCCGAATATATGCTGGGTGCCCGCCCTCAAATTTTTTTTACTGAATTCAACAGAAAACTAAAATATGCAAAATTCAGAACATAATTTTAAAATATTGGAATTTGTCTCAAAAATTAGGAAATTAAGTTATATATTATTTGAATAAGTCTATCCTTCACGTGATATTTTAGAAAAATACTGTTTACGCAATAGAATATACAAAATTTTAGTTATGCATAGATTAATTTATACAATGAATATATTAAAATATGTTATCAGCCTTCTCATTAAAAATGCCATTTATATGCAAAACATACATGCTGCAGACCTGCAGTACATGTTGCTTACTCGAAACAGAATTTCACATAGAAGGGTATTGGACGTAAATCTTGAGTGGGATGGTAGAGATCAACTCAAGACCATGTAAAAACTTTTTATGTTACCTTGTATTTTTATTATACTGGAAATAAATTTCTTCCTTGGTAAAAAAAAAGTCAGAAATGTTGAATTTTTGATTGATGGATGTCTCTACAAAGAAAGAGTGCACCTCTTTAGAAATTAAATTAATGAAAAGATACCTCCTGTCATTGTTGTTTTGGAACAGATACTAAGTGATGTGGCCATAAGAAAAGTAATTATTTTTATGGGAAATTTATCTATTTAATATACGGACAATTATATCTTTATACCATATCGATACTGATGGTTGACTTCAAATTAGGCGTTTTCAGTTGTTTATATGTTACATGTGGAAATTCATGCAAGATGAATAAAAATGTTATTGTTCATTTCGCTGGAAGTTTCCATAACATTAGCGACCATGCTACATCGCACGTATGTCACCCACAGTCTGTGGTTTAATAGTTTCAGATGCAAATACTCACGTATTATTTTTGATTATAGATAAAATGGATCACATGTAATTATGGTTCTCCCCGGGCGCTCTGATATTTCCATTACGGTATTTACCAGATAAGTGTTTGACCAACGAATCGATAAGACCCCGCCATCAACCAAGTTAAAGATTTTACCGAACGTCGTTTAAGACATGAAATTTTGGCAGAAAATCGAAAACGGCACTTATTTTTACATAAATATGTCCGGGTGAGTGTTCATGCGAGAAATTGATTTGAGAGGTAAAGGTCGAGTCACGCGTCTGTTCAGGATACCCAAGTTCACAAACCACACGATACTGGCTTTAAAAACCATGTTTAGGGTGCATTTATTTTATAAAAGTGTAATTTCCAACCCAGTTGCGTGATCGGGTTTATATGCCTACCCTAGTCACGATATCTATGCTTGGGAAAGTATGACGCCAAACCATGCGTTGCGAAAATTACCAGCTGTGTGCTTGAGGCATACCAACATTCGTAACATAGCTTTTTATAAACAGTTCGTCATGGTTCGTGCCGCTTTTTAATAACATTTATTACACATGCCCACGCATCGTGGTATATGCATTGTCATTATGACGCATGAGCACCCGCGCTTTTCTGCAATTTTAAAATTTTCACTTGCTGACGACTGCCTATCTATCTAATTGAATCTGGCATCTAGTATTTATTCGCTTGTTTGTCCTCTATATTTGAAACATCGAGGGGCATAACTTTTTCTAACAAATAAATGGCGGAATGTCAACTGTTTTTGTCTGTACACTTGTTTGATTGTTATCATATTAGTTATTTACGTTCGCGTAGAATTGATCAACAGAGCTAGTTGCGCAGCTATACTCCATTTTGAAAACAACCTTCCAAATGTATATTTTTCATAAAATATATCTTCACGCATGCATGGGGTAAGGCGGGATATAATCAGCATTAGCGATGTCCACAATAGTTTAATGTTATTGCGTAATTTTTTTTCTTGTGGCGCTGGGCATTTTTTATATTTCATATTTCCATTACTTGTATCGAATATGGTTTTATCACCAATCACTTCTATCCACCATTTTAAGTTTCAACCATATACCTCTCCTAAACGGTCATCAATATGGGACGATCACTACGATATTGGAGTTGTACACTATTTATACACTTATTATGAGAAGCGTTTGCGGAGTCTCCGTCCGCCGATTGCCTTTGATTTACTCTTGTGCGGTTTTGTCACCTTAAACATATATTTGAATAATAAACTTAAGTCCACCGACTTCCAGTTAAGTATTATGACAAACTTAAATACAATCAAATTGATTTTCGCGAGACAACATATTGTTCAAAACATAATATTAATTTGTAGTTTTAGGTAATTCCATTCAATATTATGAATTATTTTTAGTGAAATGGTTTGGTTATGAAGACTGGTTAAATTCATTATCGTTCTCCTCGCTTGCACAAACTTTCGTCGTTGCTCATTGTATTTCGCCAACTTTTCAATGAGTAATTAAGTACTATAATGAGAATAGGTAATACGATAAGTAGTGAAAAGTTGTTATTTCGATACGGAAATAACCCACTTGTATCACAGCGTGCCCTCAAACTGTATCCGAGGTCAAAACTTAAAACGAGTTTGGCGATCCGTCAGTAGATCTCAAAATAGCGGACTATATTTGTGATTGTTGTCAAAAGTATGTGTGCGTGTGAACATAAATCAACGTGAATTTCTAAAATGATAAATGACGTCGGAAGCAGGATATCTAAATTACCAATTCACGAAGCTTAATTATCGTCTTGATCCGTATTTTGCAGGAAATAGAAATTGTGAAAAATAATTCAAAATTGACCTAAACAAATGACAATTCATGCTTCGTTGGCATACCAATGTCTGTCTTGAAAATGGTTTTATTTTGGGAGCCTGCTCTTTCGCGACATAATAGGAATGCCACCGTTTTAAATTTAAACAGCAACGGCCCAAATATGGCTACGATACATCAAAGCCAAAAAGTAATCATCTGTCAATGACTTCTCAGCCCAAGGATATGCATGTTTTCGATTTCTATCGGATATACAGTATTTGTGGTCGTTCTAACATGTTCCATAAGAAATAACGTTGGACGTCAAGTTTGTATAATCCGCATCATCTCATT